GGACATCCTGCAAATCCCAGCAGTTCTTGTCTGTATCTCTCTTCTCTGCCTTCCACCTGGGTAACTGAGGTGACCAAGCTTGCCCAGTGTTCCTTCCGGGAAGCCAGCCTGGAATGTGGGTCTGGGCCCAACTTACTGAAGGTCTTCTCCAGCTCTTCACAGCGACGGACATCTACCACGAAGCGCCTCTGGAAGGCACTCACAGATGCATTGAGCTGTGAAGGACACAAGAGGACTCAGAGTCCCAGGGAGGGGACCAGGAGGTGACTGCTCTGGGGTCCAGGTTTGAGGCACCTCCTCGAAAACATTACTGGGTGCCCAATTAGAAGATGAACTGGAGCAGACTCAGCCCCATGCCAGGGAGGACATCAGTAGGCATGGGAAGAGCTCCTGTGTTGGGAGGGGCTGGGATGTTCCAGCAAGGAGCCAGGGGTCATCACAGGGGCCTTCCGGGTGTGGGGTACCTGCCCAGGGCTCTGTCCCTACTCACGTCTCTGAACTCCACAAGGCCCAGCTCGCCCAGCTGGCTTACGCAGGTGTAGGCAGCCGCTGTGGGCAGCAGGAGCTGGACCAAGGCCACTTCTTCACTCCGGAACATGGAGCCCATGATCCTTACGACAGGCAAAAAAAGTTGGTCAGGAGCCTGCTCCAGGCAGGCATCCATACACCTGTTCCCAATCACGGGACAGATAGGGAAACTGAGGCCCAGCAAAGGATAATGGGTACTGAGGTCAACAGAAAGTCAACAGCATAGCCGGGCGTTGGTGGCGCACGCCTTTAATCCCAGCACTCGGGAGGCAGAGGCAGGAGGATCTCTGTGAGTTCGAGACCAACCTGGTCTACAAGAGCTAGTTCCAGGACAGTCTCCAAAGTCACAGAGAAACCCTGTCTCGAAAAAAAAAAAAAAAAAAAAAGTCAATAGCATAACAGCACGGAGCAGGCCAATGACCCCGTGCCCACCACAGGCTGTCCCGAAGCTAGCTTTCCATGGCCTCCTTGGCCTAGTCCAGCCCAGCAGCCGCCCGACACACTGGCCTGCAGTGCTACACCACCTCTCTGCCTGGCCTCGCTCTAGACAAAGATTATCCCTGGGATCCTAGGCGCTGGCCCCGAGGCTGTGACAACTACACCTAATGCAGCTGACCTGTCCGGCCTGCCTCCCTACACACGCAGTGGGGTGGGAGTGGAGTGTCCCTTAGGTCCCCTGGGTCTAAAAATCTGAAGAGGAAGGTCGCTGAGGGGTTGCTTTTGACCGGCTGGCTAGCCAGCATTGCCCGTGGGGCTGGGGACAGTCGTGGTGTTGAAACCATGAAAGTGAAACTGTGAAACAATGAACAAACAATGAACGGGAAGGCCTGGTGGCCTTGCTCCAGCCCCAGCAGGCACAGACACTTCTTGCCTTCAGAGGGGACTCCACTGGGCCCTGCAGATGCCCCCAAAGCCAACACTCTCCCCGGGCCCCGGCCTACTCTGTAGTTATGCTCTCAGGCTCAGCGTCCTGAGGACAGTTTCCTCAGCATGCCATTGAGGGGGACTTTAGATGCTAATGGTCCCAGCTTGCTGTCTGGGCCTTCCCACAGGCCACTTCCTCCCTGAGGCCTGGTTTTCTTAACTTAAGAAGAAACCACAGTCTGTCCCTAGGGTGGGAACAGAAAGAATTCAGAGGGTGGTCAAGGACTTCAGAAGAACCAGGCAAGGGTGGGCAGGAAGGACTGGGTGCCATCACCCAAGAGCATGGCTCTGGCCACAGACCAGAGAGGGCCAGGGACCAAGTCTCTAGGGTCTTGCTCAGACTGTGATCAACTGTGTGACACTGAGTACGTCACTTGCCCTCTCTGGGCTTATATTTCCTCTAAGACTTGACCAAGCAGAGCAGTGGTGGTGCACATCTTTAATCCCAGCTCTCAGGAGGTAGAGGCAGGAGGATCTCTGTGAGTTCAAGGCCACCCTGCTCTACAAAGAGAGTTCCAGGACAGTCAGGGCTGTTACACAGAGAAATCCTATCTTGAACACCACACCTCAAAAAAAGACTTGGCCACCCCTGGCAGGAAAGGTAAGATGTGAGTGGAGAGCTGAAAACAAGACTAGAACCCCAAGTCTTCTATAAACACCACCATGCCAACCACTGACTGGCAACACAGCCTCATATATATATATTTTTTTCTTTGTTTGTTTTTTCTTTTTGGTTTTTCAAGACAGGGTTTCTATATGCAGCCCTGGCTGTCCTAGAACTTACTATGTAGACCAGGCTGGCCTCACACTCAGAGAGCCTCTGCCTCCGGAATGCGGCCACCACCACACAGGCCCAACCCAGCCTTATCTTATAGGTGGATCAACCCAGGTTGAGTAAGGTGAAGTCACAGTCAGCTAGGATCAAACCAGAGAGAGGTCTGACCCAGACCAGAGGAAGCTGCTCTGATGGGTCTTGTTCTGATTAGTCCCAGCACCATAACCACCACCACCGGGTTGCCCCAGCCATGGAACCCCAACCATCTAGATATGAGACAATGAAAGCACCTCCCTGTCCCCTGCAGTCCACACCAAGCACTGTGATTTAACAGCTCCTGTCTCTGCAGCCAGCAGGGCATCTGCGGGGTAGACCACACACACCGCTTGTGCTCCGGCCTTCCCTGGACGCCCTGAAGTTCCGCTTCACTCCTGCACTCCTTTCGTGGTCCTTCCTTCGGTCCCACACCTCTTCTCCCAGTCCCTGCCTCTTGGAGGATGACAGCACGAGAAAAGGAACTGGAGTTCGCCTCGAGCTCCGCCACTTCCTAGTTGGGCGGCCTCTGTTTCCTCATCTGTAGAATGGGTCCCTCGCTTCGAACCAGACGCAGCAGACCTGGTAACGTGGGCTCTGAACTTGCCCAGAGCTAGCAACCCATCCTCCTGCTCCTCCTTGCGGCCTGCCTGCACCCCATACGGCCTGAAACGGGCGCGTGGCTTCTGAGCTTCCTCCACCCGGAATCGGGCGGGGTGCTTGAACCCCTGTCCGGGCAAGGAAACCGGTGGCGGGCAGGGTTGAGGCTCCGCAGCCTCGCAGGACACTCACCCTGGTGGGCACGTCACTCAGCTCCGGCTTAGACTCTGAGCCCGCCAGCCGGCGGGAGCAGCTGGCTCCAAAAGGCAGAGAGTAGGCGTGGTCTACGATGCACCGCCCCCATCCTCTAGTCCCGGCCCCGCTGAGTTCTGGGAGGAGGGGCTGGGAGGAAGGCAGTGACAGAGATGATTGATTCTAGGTGTCCTGGACTGGGAGATAACTGACAACAGGGCTGCGGGATAGGATCTTAGGGACACGCCACCTTCCCTTCCCTCTTGAGAGCTATGTCCTGATGGGTCCTAGTGCACACAGGCTGGTGTCCAAGTTCTGTCTAAGTGAAGCAGGAAGGCTGGGCCATGACTGCCCACTCTTTGGGTACCTCCCCACTGGCAGCAGGGCATTTGTCAGGCCAGTCTCTGCTGAAGAACTTGCACCCAGGAGGCAGGGAGACTCTCCAGGAGCTTCTGACCTTGAGGTCCCAGTATCTGGAAACTGGGATTCAGGACCATTCAGCTGCCTGCACTGTGGACAGGCTGGACTGTACCCACTGAGGACCAGAGGGACAAGGGGCCCCTCAGCTCTGGTGATCCTTGGACCCCGCACAATAAACAAGGACCTTGGTGTGTGTGTGTGGAGTGTAGAGAAGCCCAGGGCTACCTGGAAACAGAGTCAGTCAAGGTGGGCATCCTCAGAAAACAGAGAGGTGTGTCACAGGTCTGACCTGACTTGGTATAAGAAGGACCCTAAAACAATAACACCAGGGGTCACAGGTCAGTGCTCTTCAGTGTGGAAGGATCGACAGGGCCAGGGAGCCGTCATGGTTGCACTGAGGTAAAAGTGTACCTTCAACCATGAAAACCAAGCCAGCAGTCAGTCTTCCAGGGTGTGTCTGTCAATGGAAGACCCCTTCAGGAGCGAGGGGAGCCACACCGCTTGGTTGGAACTGCAAACCGGGAAGCTAAAGCCACACAGCAGCCCGAGTGGGGAACTTAGTGGGGAAAGGGGATGTAGCAAGAGACAAGGCCAGCTCAGAGGCAGCAGGACTGTGTCATTCCCTTGTGATTGTCACCCTATAGCAAGCTTCCCGTTGCCCAACCCTGGCCTTCCCCGCCCCGCCTCCAGACAGAGTTTTTCTGTGTAACAGCCCTGGATGTCCTGGAACTCTCTGTAGACCAGGCTGGCCTCGAACTCAGAGATCCGCCTGCCTCTGCCTCCCGGGTGCTGGGATGAAAGGCTTCACCCTGGCCTCCTTGAGGCTCTTGTGTGTAAGTGTGTGCGCTTACAGCCCCTGTGCAAGTACATGAAGAAGGCTGAGCTTGACAGCAGGATGCCTTCCTCAGTTGCCCACCCCTTTAGTCACTTTTGAGACAGGGTCTCTCGTGGAAGCTGAAGCTTGCTTTTGATGAGACTGGCTAGCCAGTGAGCCCTGGGATCCACCTGACTCCACCCCCGCAGTGGGTAGCAGACATGTGACCACATGTGCCTTTTACGTGCAGTCTCAGGATGGGAACACTTGACTCACTGAGCCTTCTTCCCAGCCTCCTCCCGAGGCTCTTGATGGACTCTGGCCTGGAGCCTGGGAAGGCCCCAAGTCCAAACAACCGTAGCGATGGCTGTCTGAGAAGACAGAAGACCTGGGCCCGCCTCTCAGACGCCCAACACCATGGGGACAACAGGCCCATGATGACCTGCATTGCCAGGCCCTGGAGAGAAGCCCAGAAGATGTGTGTATGGTTCTGGGTCCTGTAGCCAACCACAAAGAGGCCTACTGGGCCTGGGATCACAGAAGGTGACTGGGTGCTGGCTCTGTTAGGTCTTGTGGGCATGCGAGCTGCTGGAACCCACTGAGAGAAAAGGCCAAAGGTCCATGCACACCTGGTGTGGCCAGAGGAAGCCACAGACCCCTGGCTGTGTGGACTGGGTTCCACCCTAGCAAACAGATACAACACAATAGGCAGTGTGGGATTATAGCTTCTTTATGGGCAGCAGGGGCCATAGGACTAGGTCAAATGGTCAGGTCACCGGTACAGGTAGTCAGCCTGGATGTTGGCAGAGATCTCAGCCTCCCATTTGTCCCCATTGTTGAGCAGCTTCTCCTTGTTGTACAGCAACTCCTCATGTGTCTCGGTGGAGAACTCAAAGTTGGGGCCCTGCAAGAGGGTGGACAGTCAGCAAGGCCACTCCCTCCCTCTGTGCCAGCCACCTCACCCAGACCACTCACTTCCACAATGGCGTCAACAGGGCAGGCCTCCTGGCAGAAACCGCAGTAGATACACTTGGTCATGTCGATGTCATAGCGTGTAGTCCGGCGGCTGCCGTCAGCTCTTGGCTCGGCCTCAATGGTGATGGCCTGAAGGAGTGGCAGACACCTGTTGGCCCTGGGTCTGCCCCTCACAGCCCAACCTGGCCCCTGGGGGTTTGCATGGATGTCCCACATCCTTAGACACATCCTCAACTTTCCAGAGGGGCCACCCTTCCACCCTTCACACGGCCCCATTAGCCTCTGCCAGGTTTTTGCTCAGCACTTGCCCAGGTGACCCTCCTGTCTCACAAGGAAAAGGCTATGATCTGCTTTGCTCCTTGAAAATCTGAGGCTGGGCAGTGGTGGAGCACACCTTTAATCCCAGCACTTGGGAAGCAGAGGCAGGCGGATTTTGGTGACTTTGAGACCAGGCTGGTCTACAAAGAGAGTTCCAGGATAGTCAGACAAATCCTGTTTCAAAAAACCAAAACAACAACAACAAAACCAACAACAACAACAACAAAAAAGAAAACTGGTGACCCTAAGATGTCCCCTGGGACAGTAAGTTTCCAGTGACTGTCATGGTGAACAACCTTTCTGATAGTCTCCATCGGCTGGAGAAAATTAAGACTCAGAGAAATCAAAGTTTTCTGAAATAACACAGTAATGAGGGACATACTCCAAATTTGAAGGAGTATCTTTTAACTGTTGGTTTCTGGGGACAGCTGTATGCCAGCCAAGAATAAGAAGGGACAACCTCGAACCCACAGGCCAAGAGAACCATTGAGGAACTCCCTAGTGGCATGCTTACGACACACAGTGAGGCCTCAGGAGGTAGATCTTTTTGTGTTTGTAGGGGTGAGAATAAAAATCTCCCCTGGCTACTGTTGCAGTTACAGGGTGGATATGAAGAATGAGCCTGTTTTATAGAGTGCATGCTACATAGAAGCCATGCCTGTCACCACTGCTGCTGTTTTAGGGAACTCTCAGGGGCATATCCAGGAGCTAGAGCTAGGCATGGCAGGTCTGAAGGCTGCACCTGCTGGGGCTCCTGCTGGGCACACTACAGCCAGCTCTGTACCTTTCTGTTTCCACAAACAGCCCCAACTGCAGATGGTCCACACAGCACCCATGAGCACAGTCAAAGGCCAGGCCCTGAGGAGCAGCCACCGGGGATGGGAGCCTTAGCTGCATGTCCTTGGCTCAAAGCCAGGATGGGCATACAGACAGTACTCCTGAAACCACCCCATGGCTCCTGAGCCCAACTGTTACATGATCTACTGACTCCCAGAGTGGGATGTGGGTATGTCACTAGGAGTGCTTGGGATGGAGGACCCCACCAGCTTCCTGACTCAACACCTAGACATCCAGGACTCATTCCCAATCACAGGATCGGGGTTGACGTTTGTCAGGGGTTTTGTCAGCGCATGCCTTTATCTTAGTATTCCAGAGGCAGAAGCAAACAGATCTCTGTGAGCTCAAGGCCAGCCTAGTCTGCACAGTGAGCTCTAGTCCAGCTAGGGCTTGCTAGTGAGACTCTGTCTCAAAAGAAAAAAGAAAGGAACTTTCCCAGAGATATTCATCAAGGTAGGGTCAGACTTAGAGCTTACCTGTGCGGGACAGACAGCCTCACAGAGTTTGCAGGCGATGCAGCGTTCTTCCCCAGAGGGGTAGCGGCGCAATGCATGTTCCCCACGGAAGCGTGGACTCAGTGGTCCCTTCTCAAATGGGTAGTTGATGGTGGCAGGCTCCCGAAAGAGGTAGCTCAGGGTCATGCCCAGTCCTGTGAGTAGCACAGAGCTGGCGAGGGGCTCTCTCCTCCCCAGCGCATCCATGCCTGACTCCCACCTCTCCCCACGAGCACCTACCTCGGAAAAGTTCTGTCCACATCAGAGTCCGAGCCGCGCGGTCAGTTATGGACTTCATGTCCATCTCAAGCTCCTGTACATTCACATACTCTGTGGAAGTCATGGTAGGAGGTTAAGGAATCTGGCTCTGGAAGATGAGGCTCAACTCTCAGGCCTAGGTGCAGCAGGTGGGCGGTGCGCTCTTAGTGAGGGCCCGGGGAAGTCAGTCTACAGCCCTGGGAAGCTTTGCCAGTCCTCTTTCTGCCCAGGTAACCCAAAGAGCCCCCAAGTAAAAGCTTTCAAGTTCAGGGTGAAAGGCTCCTGGGTCTCACTCCTTCAATGCCACCGCTATGCCCAAGAGTCACATCCTCTCTCGGATCACCACCTTCATTTTCAGAGTGGAAACTAAAGCTCCTAGGGGGTCCCTGGCCTCAGGTGTGGCCACGCTGAGGAAAGTCCAAGTCAGAAGACAGCATCTGGTACTCACTGTAGGTTGCTGCCACTATGCTGCTATGGAGGCTTCGGCCACTGAGACATCCTGCAAGGAGAAGGGTGACACTCTGCTGCTGTGACTTCACACCCGAAGCTTGTGCCCTAGCCCCAGGAAAGGCTCCCTGGTCCTACCTGTGTTCACGGCCTGGACCAAGGCCCGTGGCAGCAGGAATGAGGTGAGACGAATCATCTGGAGTGGAGCATGGAAAGGAGGGAGGTGAACGGCCTAACGCCCTCATCAGGACCTACCCACACACCCTCCCAGGTGAGACCCGCACCCCGCACTCAAGCTGACCTCACTCTGCTAAGACTCACCTGGCGCCCCGTTCCTTCCATGGCAGCTCCTAGGCCTAGCTAATCCACTTCCCCTTTATCTGTAGTTCACAGCAAAACACCCCGACCACCGCCAGTGTACTGAGCTAATCTGAGCAAGGCTTCATGCCAGATGTCACAAGCTGTCATCCTGGCATGTTAAGTGACGGCCCCAAAGTTAGTGGCATTGGAACCAGGACAGGAACCCAGAAGTCACCTACAGAAAAAAACCTTAATGGTTTAAATAAACCCCAGGGTCAAGTTCCTCTCCCCAACCCAAGGGCCTGCTGGAACTCTCCCCAGCTCGCCGAGTGACCTTGGGCAAGTGATGTCCCCTAGCCTCAGACTTCTAGACTTCCATACAGGCGTGGGGGGGGGGGGGAGCGTGCAAAAACTACGGATATATGCAACCAAGGTGATGTTGACCGAGAACCTGGCTCTTTACCAACGCTCCAAAGAGCCCCTTCTATAACTTTTGACCTCTAGCGGGTCTGCCAATTCTTCACCCGTGACCCCAGGCAATCCTGGAGCCCAACCTACCACTTTCTCTCAGACCTTCCCCTTGACCTCTGACCCTACGAGAGCAGTAGGCATCCGGCAAGGCAGCGCATGCGCCTGAGGTGCGGGCCTCCCAACCCTGCAGCTCGCAAAAGGACGCAGAGGCCACGGGTACCGAGCCGACCCGCGGGATCCCAGACTTCACGGAGTGAGCGGTGAAACCACGTTCGACCCCGTCGTCACGCCACCCAGGCCCTGCGTTCGCCCTCTTGCTCTGGACACCCACCTTGAGGCGCGCCGGCTCCTTTCCTGGCGCAGATGCAGTTCAGCCGGGAGGCGGAGCCTAACGTCAGGATGCTACCATTGGGCGGGCTACTCACGCCCCTTTATTTTTCTTTTCCTGGTGCCCTTTCTTACTGTGGCCTGATTGGCCTGCGGTGCGGCTGTAGGAGGCGGGGCCAGAATTCAGTTTCCTCTGATTGGTTGATGGAACAGGCGCTTGAAGTTTTGCAGGGAGCAGCCATATTGTATTGGAGACATTTGTACGCGAGACTTCCGAGCTGCTGAAGGCGGGACTTCCTGGGTGTGGTTTGGGACTTTAGTACAGTTCCCGGCGGGCGGGGCATGGCGGTGAGGCTTATTTGAATACTGTAACGGTAGCCACCGCTACTCTGCGTCTTAACGTCTTAGTCACGAGGCTTCATCCGGTCCTCGTAACAGCCGCGCATAGCAGGACTTTCATAAGTCGACCCCTGTGACTAGAGCCAGGAGGCAATCTGCTTGTCTTGCTTGGAGTGGTCAGGGAAGGCTTCCTCTAGGAGGTGGTGCCTAAGCTGGAGGAGTCTGGCAGGCCAGGAAGGACGCTGACTTGGTCAAACACCGCGCCGGGAGAGGAGACAGGATGTCAAATTTTTGGGTTTTAATGCCGGGCGGTGGTGGCGCACGCCTTTAATCCCAGCACTAGGGAGGCAGAGGCAGGTGGATCTCTGTGAGTTCGAGGACTGCTTCCAAACCAATACAGAGAAACCCTGTCTCGAAAAACCAAAAAAATAAAAAAATGTGTGGGGGGTGGTTTAGCAGTTGGTGACTGGAAGCTGTATCCCATGGAGCATGGGGCTGAGACTGGTAGAATGTTTTACCCTTAAGTAGAATGGACGTACCATGTGCAGAGCTGAGGGGAGAAGAGCCGCCGAGGGAGGGATCTTAGCCTTAACATGCAGGCAACACCTCACTCCAAAGAGAAAGACACCTGTAGCTTGGGGTCAGTCCAACTATTTTAATCCTCCCAGCGACCACAGGTCGTTAATTCATCCACACTGTGCAGATAGGAAACCGAGGCTCGGAGGACCCAGACATGCTGGTCACAGGATATGGTGACTGCATCCACAAGAAGTGCCCGTTTTCTCCCTGGTTCCATGGCCAGCACCGGGGAGACAGGTCACAGTGCCCTTCTCACATTCCCATCCTCAGCCTATAGCAATCAGAACAGTCAGAGGCCCAAAAAGGGAAGCCCCGGAGGAAGGCTGGCAAGCTGCTCTGTGGCCGGGTCCCAGCGGCCACTTCCCCAGCATCTGTGTCCGAGGTCACAGCAGCGTGCAGCTGCAGCTTCTCTCCTGCATGGCCACCAGGAGCATCCGGAGGTTTCTTCTGGAGTAGGGCGGGTAACGGAGGTCATTGATTTTCTCCATCCCGGGGCTACGCAGCAGGCAGGCACGCTGGTTGGAAAAGGTGTCGAAGGAGAACTTGCCGTGGTACCTGCCCATCCCGCTCGCTCCTGTGGACAGCATGGAACATGGGGTTTAGGTCCTTAATGGCCAGATGAGGGGACATCACATAGACTTGTCTCTGAGCCTCTATCCCCATCTGTTCAGTGGGTTAGTCAGAAGACATTATGGATAGAAGGCTGACTCCTGACCCTGTCCCCAGACCAGTATGTCAGGTTTTGGTGTGGGACGGGCAAACTGAAGTCAAGGGAATGAATTCTCGAGCCACGATGCCCCAAGTTGAATCCCAACCTGTCCTAAATAGGTATGTCACTGTGGGCAAATGGCAGCCTTAGGTTTCTCCTGCGACAGTGGCGCCCTCCTCCTAGGGTTGTGGCAGACATCTTCAAACCTGTGTAGTTCCTGGTGTCTGGGAAGGGAGAAGGACTCAGCCCAGAGAGTTCAGGGGACATGGGAGCAATGAAGCTGGCTTGATGGAATGAGTGAAGCCAGAGGAGTGTTAATCAGCCAGATAAGTGCAGGTGGACAACGGGGGTGAGGGGCTCAGGCTTGAGGACAACTTAGCCATGAAGGTGGGTAACATGTCAGGGCCAAGCTCAGTAAGTGCCTCAGCAAGCTAAGAGACGGGGACGGGAGCAGGCTCCAGAGCAAGACCGGGACAGGCCAGACGATGCTGTCATCCAGTACTGAGGGTGAGCAGGTGGAAGGAACGGGACTTTCAATGAGGAAGTGTGGCTGGAAGGAGAAGTGTCTGCCTGTGTCACATGCCTGGGGGGCTTGCCGGGATACAGCTGTGAAGTTTACAGCTGTGTGTGGGGTGGGGCATCTCCACACCCCAGGCCTAGAAGCAGAGACGTTCAGAGCTGGGTTCTCAGGGACCTGGGAAGGCTGAAGGAGCACCTTCTGGCCCTATTGTGGTACTGAAGGTACCAGGACTCTGTGTGTGGATAAAGACAGGAAAAGTCAAGGAGCTCAGTGTCTAGAGGCAGCTGGTTCCTTTTTACAAAACCCACCAAAATTAGCTTTCTGTGGGTTCTCACCCACATGTTTAAGTGCAAGCACACCTGGAAGCTTCTACCACAGGCTGAGGGCGGGGGGGGAGGCAGGATGGGCACAGTTGGGTCTGCTGCCCTGAAAGTGGGCTGTGTGTTCTGCAGTTAGTGTGCTCGAGCAGCAGGGTGGGGATGCAGCCGAGGATCAGCCCAAGAGGGCAGAGCTCTGCTGCCACCTACCCACTCCTCCAAAAGGAAGGCTGGACAGGGTCATGTGCATGAAGCCATCGTTCCCACAGAAGCCCCCGCTGCTGGTCCGGGCCAGGACCTGTTTAATCACCTGGGAGAGAAACAGGAACCTGTAAAGCACATCTGGTTATACCCTGTTTCAGTAAGGACCTGAGGTCCAAGGTGGGTCTGGATAGACTCATAGACTCTACTCGATGGACACGCTTTCTGTGTGGGGCCCTGGCTGACTGACAAACCCAAGGAGAAGCAGTGAGACCTGATGTCACCTAGGGAAAGGCAGAGTGGGGACATGAGCTGGCTGCTGAGTCTTGTTTCTTTTTGTTTTTTGTTTTTTTTTTTTGTTTTGTTTTGTTTTTGTTTTTTCGAGACAGGGTTTCTCTGTATTGTTTTGGAGGCTGTCCTGGAACTCACTCTGTAGATCAGGCTGGCCTCGAACTCACAGAGATCTGCCTGCCTCTGCCTCCTGAGTGCTGGGATTAAAGGTGTGTGCCACCAACACCCGGCGCTACTGAGTCTTATAGCAACAGTTTTGAGAGAGAAGAGAGGGGTTTTCAGAGAGTAAGGAGAGAGAAGTAGGGGGCTTTGGGAAATGAGTTTGGACTCAGAAGCCTGAGATTGGCCTTGCCTGACTGCCTGAAGGGTTTTCCTGCAGTTAGTAGGTCTGAGAAGGCTGGAGGGAAAGGAGATGGATTTACTTGGCTTCATTTAATGCTAGGGGGTGATAAAAGCTCTAAGTTTGGCCTTGTCTGGTCAAGTGGATCACACCAGGATGCAGCATTGCCTCAGCCTGAGGCTGCCAAGAACAATGGTCACACCAGAGGATGAGTAGCTGGAAGACAGCCTGGCATGGACCAGTGCTGGACTCTGGAGACGTGAGGGGCAGTTGGCCTCACTGCCAAAAGGGCTGTGTTGAGTGTTCTTTTGTTTGTTTTGTTTTTCAAGACACAGTTTCTCTGTTTATTCCTGGCTGTCCTAGAACTCCCTCTGTAGACCATGCTGGCCTTGAATTCAGAGATTCACCTGCCTCTGGCTGTTGAGTGCTGGGATTAAAGGCGTGCGCCACCACTGCCCAGCTCATATTGTGTTTCTAAAGGTTCCATAGAAGAATGACTGAATTCAAAGGTGAGTCTGAGAAGGTCCCAGCGGAGCCCTCACTCATGTAGAACAGCAGAGGAAGTGGTCACAGAGCAGGTCCAGGACAGAATGGTGGCTTGGGTAGTTGAAACACACAGTGTCAGGTATGGTAGTGTTACCTGTGATTATACCAGTGGAGGTAGTAGGGCCAGGAGTTCAAGGAAAACCTCATCTACATAGTGAGTTGGGTGCTGCCTGAACTGTTTGAGACCCTGTCTCAAAAACAGGGCTGATGAGATGACTCAGTGACTGAAGCTGGTTTCTGTCCCTGAAATACACATGGTAGGAGAGAGCGGACTCCCTCACATTCTCAACAGACGGTCACACAAATGCTGTGACATGCACAGCTGACAACACACACAATAAATGTGAAAAAATGCTTTTAAAGCTAGGCCCAGCCAGCACTCAGAAGGCAGAGGCAAGCAGATCTCTGTGAGTTCGAGACCAGCCTGGTCTACAAGAGCTAGTTCCAGGACAGCCTCCAAAGCCACAGAGAAACCCTGTCTCAAAAAACCAAAAAAAAAAAAAAAGGACTTGTTACCAAGCCTGATGACCTAAGATTGATCCCCAGGACCCACAAGGTGGAAGGAGAGAAGCGACTCCTGCAAGTTGTCCTCTGACCTCCACATATATACACAGATACATAAGAATGTGATAAAAAATTGTTAAGTCAAAACCATCCATAAGAGTTGTTCTAACTGAATAAATGGCTCAGGAGACAAGTCTTTCCCCTGGATCTGGAACATCTATGCAGTAACATGGTAGCCGTCCCTCCATAGAGAGGGTTCTAGTACACTGCCTCCCTTTGGGCCAGCACGGAGGCTTGCTCAGATGCTTGAGACAGGACAGGACAGCTCTCAGCAGAGCCTTCTAACAGACACAGTCTTGTCCAAGTGACCTTTAACTTTCTGGGTACTTGGACTCTGGGTACCCCGAGACATTCTCTCTAGAAATCCCATTCCCTGTTATGAAGTAGTGAGGAACCAAGAAAATGGGAGACAATGCAGAGATCTGGCTGGACTCCAAGCTGAGACCAAGATCATGCATGGTGAGATGGGGAGCGCACACAGCATGGATGGAGAAGCAGTTATGGAGATGCCTGGTTCTGGCATGGTCAGGGTCCTTCACAGGGAGCTGGTTGTGGCATGCACAGGAAGTCTACTTCCTTTATCGCTTTTTGTGTATTTAAAGTTATTGTAGAAAGCCAGGCGTTGGTTCTCTCTTTCTATCATGTGGGTTCTGGGATAGAACACAGGTAGCCAGACTTGACAACAAGCACCTTTACTTTACCTGCTGACTCATCTCACCAAGGAGGTGAGATGCAGCCGGGCGCTGGTGGCGCACACCTTTAATCCCAGCACTTGGGAGGCAGAGGCAGGCGGATCTCTGTGAGTTCGAGGCCAGCCTGGTCTACAGAGCTAGTTCCAGGACAGCCTCCAAAACAATACAGAGAAACCCTGTCTCGAAAAACAAAATAAAATAAAATAAAATAAAGTTATTGTAGAGTAAAAAGTGTGTTTTAATTAAAAAATGGTGATAGCTGGGTTTGTAACTTATTTGGTAGGGTTTTTTTTTAACTATTACATTTTGTTTATTGTTTGTTTATGTGTACTAGTCTCAGCTCACGTTAAAATTTTGTGGGAGAAAAACTATGGGAGTCTGTTCTAGCACAGGATTCTAACTGAGCTATCTCCCCAGTTCCCTTATTTGGCCAATTTGTTGTTTGTTTGAATCTTTAAAGATTTTTTTGCTTTGTTTTGTTTTCTTTTTATTTCAAGACAGGGTTTCTCTGCATAACAGCCCTGGCTGTCCTGGAACTCACTCTGTAGACCAGGCTGGTCTTGAATTCACAGAGATTCTCTTACCTTTGCCTCTTGAGTGCTGGGATTCAAGGTGTGCACCAACACTACCCAGTAAGATTTATTTCTTTTATGTGTTTGTTTTGTTTTCATGCATGTTTTTGTACCACGTAAGTGCTTGATGCTTGAGGAAATCAGAAGAGTTATGCATCTTTGTGAACCAGCAGGTGGTGCTGGGAACCAAACATAGGTCTCCTACAAGAGCAACAAGTGCTCTTAACCACTGAGCCATCTCTCCAGCCCAATTTGGTAGGTTTTATCTAGTGTGCAGGAAGCACTGGGTTTGATTCCCCAAGGTCCACTATAACCAGGTGTAAATGCACATATTTATTATCCTAACACTCAGGAGGTGGAGTCAGGAGGATCGGGTTCAATCCTGGACTACAGAGTTTGAGGCTAGCCTATGCTACACCAGACCCCCATCTCAAAATATTGTTTGACCAGGTGTGATGTCATCCAGGAGAGTTTAGTTCAAGTAGAGTTTGACTTCTGGGAGGGAGGACGGGGCAAAGCCAAGAAGCCACCATACCTGAAGTCCTGTCACTACCCAGGAGGCTGTGTGTGTTCCCTCTGTTGCCACCCCTCCCACAACCCTGGTACTGGTACTCCATCCCACCTGACTTCTCTTAGAGAAGGCGTACAGCGCAAGTGGCTTCTCCCTCCGGTTGATGAAATCGATGGCCTCATCCAGGTTTTTCACAGTCAGCAAAGGCAGGATGGGTCCAAAGATCTCCTCCTGCATCACAGGCTCTGTCTCCTGCACGTCCACTAACACTGTGGGTGCTGCAACACAGTGGGTAACTCAGCCTCGCCCAAAGGCAAGACCTGTGGACCCCAATAAGGACAGAGCCTGTGCTCCACACAGGGCAGTCCCCAGGGTCGGACTTTCTAGGATCTCAGACTTGGGGTCTGGAGTCTCACAAAAGCTAGAACAGACGTTTAAGCCATACTCTGAACCTCTAGAGTGAGATCATAGCTTAGTGGGTCCCGAGTTTGAGGAATCAGTCTCAGAGTCACAGTGATGGGGTGCTGAGGATCTGAGCACCCAGAGTTGTGCACTCAGGCAGCCTCCATAAGGTAGTGCAGAGAATTCACATAGGCTGAGACTTGCAGCCCAGTGTGGGAAGGTCTCAGGCCAGGTTGGGAAGAGGGATACTCACCAATATAGAGGTCATTCTCATCACTCTGGCCACCAATGGCCACACGGCCACAGCCCAGCAATCCCTGGAGCCGCTTGAAATGTTTCTGGTTGATGATTCTGCCCAGGTTAGGGGAAGTCTGTGGGTTGTCTCCATAGAAACGTGTGACTGCATTCTGCAAGGCAGGCACCAGCTGCTCCTGCATCTCCTGGCTACAAAGGATATAATCGGGGGCCACACAGGTCTGTCCAGCATTGAAGTAGCGGAACCAGGCCACACGGTTGGCTACAGTCTGGGGGTCACAGTTGTCATCCACATAGCAGGGGTTCTTACCCCCCAGCTCCAGGGTGATGGGTGTCAGGTGTTTGGCAGCAGCGGCCATCACGATCTTGCCTACATAAGCATTCCCTGGGTACATGGAGTGATTAATTAGTCAATTGGCTAAGAGGGTAGCCTCACTTGTGTCCCTGGACAGAGGCTCCAAAGAAATAATTCATCCTGCACTCCCAGCAGTGAGTCAGACTCCCTGTCCCCCTCCCATGTGGAGCCCCTCAGCTCCTACCTGTACCCACTTCTGTCCCTGGCCCACCTTGTAGTTTATTCTCCAGCATGCCTTAGCAGTAGCCACCCCTCCGTCTCCTAAAACCACTGATGTCCTCTGCCTTGTCCTCTAAGACCGCAGCCCAGTTTAACCTGACGGATGCTCAGTCGCTCATCTCTGTCTCACATACGCCTTCCCAGAGTTGCTGTCTACAGGCTCCTCCCAAGGTGCCCCTCTCCTTCTGCCCACATCTGCACATCCTCCAGGTGGTCCCAGCCCTTGCCTGCACACCATAATTCTTCCAATCCTTGTTTACTCTCTGCCCTCCTCAGTTCAAACACCACAGAGGCACTTTGGCAACAGGGACACTTGTCCATTACCTCAGTGCTAAGAAAACTGAGGTAGAAGATTACCTCAAGTTCAATGCCAGTCTGGGCTACACTGTGAGATCCTGTCTTAAACAGTGGCTGATGCAGTCTTGGTGGTGCACTCTTGTAATCCCTGCACTCAGGAGCTGGAGGCAAAAGTGCCAGGAGTTGAAGGTCACCTTCAGCTACATAGTGAGTTTGAGGCCAGCCTGGGTTACATGACATTTAGTTTGGAAAAAACAAGAGAAACCCAAGCAAGAGCAACAGCCCTAGGACTGAGAGTATGGCTTAGTGGTAGAGCACTTGCCTGGCACCTCAAACACAGATAAAAGACTTCAGAATCCCAGCAATCGGAGGCAGAGGCAGGCAGGTCTCTGTAAGTCTGAGGACAGTCTGGTCTACAGAGAGAATTCTAGGACACCCAGGGCTACACAGAGAAACCCTGACTCAAAAAAAATTAAATAAATAAGTTAATAATCCAGAACATACAGCCTCTGACATACAGTCTGTGTTCTCAACAAAGATGTGCTTTTTCGGGAGGAGGGGCTGATGAGCACTTCCTAAGGACCCTATGCTGTGGTGGTGGACTTTGTCTTCTGTGAGGACCTGTGCTTTGGATTGCCTCACCTTTACAGATAACAATGGGCTGTGTTAGTCATGGGCCTTGCAACGAGATCTGGGTCCAGCCTGTTGGGACCTGGCTTGGGCTTTGCTTTGCCTCTGGATCTGGCCCTGAGAACCTAACATACGGGTCACCAGGGCTGACAGTGCAGAGATGACTTGAACAACACTCCCCTGCCTCCTACCTTGCCTACTATGAGACTGCACCAATGGAGGTCAATCTACCTTTGTTTCAGCAGCCTTCCCTGTCCCCAACTGAGCTTTTTTCTTTTTCTTTTTTTTTTTCTTGGTTTTTCAAGACAGGGTTTCTCTGTATTGTTTTGAAGGCTGTCTTGGAACTCACTCTGTACATCAGGCTGGCCTCAAACTCACAGAGATTCCCCTGCCTCTGTTTCCTGAGTGTTGGGATTAAAGGCGTGCACCACCAAAGCCTGGCTCCCAGCTGGGCTTTTCCTAGGCTTGAGGCAAGGTCTAGAAGAAGTCCTAAGCTCACTTCTCGCCTGCTCTCACCCCTGTAAGTCAGAAACCAGCCATCGTAGGAAGCACTGCCCACTACTTCCTCCACCTTTTTATCTTCCAGAAACTTCACCCTGGGCCCTTGAAGCAGATGCCTGGGACCTGGGACAGGCTAGCATAATGGCAGGTGACCTCTGGGAGGCAGCCTCCCTAAGAGCTTGGGTGCAAATCCTATCCTGGCCAGCTGGGCAATCCTGGATCAGGTACTGCTGCCCTTCAGCACCCTGAAACAGCCTCTCACCTGAAGGGACATCACAGGGTATATTGTCAGGGTCTGGTGCAGTAGGAGCTTGGCATGGGTTGAGGTTGGGGAGGTGATTGGTAGCTGTGGACATGGGAGTCTGTCTTCCCTAAGGGTCTGGAGGCTGGAGCCACCCCAAACCTTACCTGTGAAGAAGATGTAGTCGAACCTATGTTCCAGCAGCTGCCCGGTCTCCTGAGGCCCACCCAGCACCACAGCAAAGCAGCTCTGTGGGGAAAGACAAATGTCCTCAGACCCAGCTTCTGAGTCCAGGGTGGTCTAGCCTGCCCACGTTGCTTCACCCAGGCTTGGACGATCCTTCCTGAGAACATCTTGGGGGTTGAACTCTGCAGACCTAGAGCAGGAATGAAGCTAGGGCCAACTATTGTACCCCAGGGGACAGACTGCCCTGGCCAAATCCTAGAAGGGAAATTGAGGGTGAGGCATAGTGATGTAGCCAAGGCCATGCAACTCGAAAGAGATACCCCTAGCCAACTAGAAATTCATTCCTGTAATTCAGCTCTCAGGAAGCTGCAGAAGGATCACTATGAGTTTGAGGTTAGCCTTGGCTATAGAGAGAGGTCCTGTCCAAAAAAAAAAAGAGACAAAGACTGAAGACACAGCTCAGGAGGTAAAGTGCTTGCTGTGCAAGCATGAAGACCCACGTGTGACCCTGAGTCCCCGCTGAAAAGCCAGGTACGATGGCAGGCACCTGTAATTCCAGCTCTGGGCCAGTACAGAAAGACAGATCCCAGAGACTCACTGGTCAACTAGTCTAGCCAAATTCTCCAGCTCCAGAAACCATTGAGAGACCCTGTCTCAAAACACAGGGTGAACCGGGGTGATGGGGGCGCACACTTTTAATCCCAGCACTTAGGAGGCAGAAGCAGCTGGATCTCTGAGTTCGAGGCCAGCCTGGTCTACAGAGAAACTTCTAGGACAGGCTTCAAAGCTACAGAGAAACCCTGTCTCAAAAAACCAACCCAACAACAACAACAAAACGCAGGGTGAACATTTCTAAGAAACACAGAGGTTGAACTCTGGCCTCCACTTACACAAAAACATACATGAACACACATACACACAAACAAGCACACACACTCTCAAATAGACTCCCATACCCTGAAGGCCCTCCTGAGATTGGGCTGTGTCCCCTACCTTACCCCATGAGGAGCTGTCCAGTCCTAGACCTGGACTAACCCGGATTACCTGGTCCAGATAGCGGGGCAGGATCTCAGCCAGGATCTTCTCAATGGCCTTGCTGGTCTCTGAGGGCTTGAGTACCACACAGTTCCCTGCAGTCAGCACAGAGACAATGCTAGGAGAGGGTAGCTATGCAGGGAATGTGCTGGCCACACTAACTCTCAGAGGAAGAATCAGAGTGATGGATAGACCCTGGCCAGGGGCCGCCTGGGAGCAGGGTAGCAGGCCCCCTGTCTTCCTTTTCTGGTTTCCTAGGTAGCCCCGTGTTCTCCAGTGAGTAGGGCTGTGGGAAGGTGGAGGTCTCACCAGCAGCAATGGCCCCCACCAGCGGCACAAGCGTCAGGTTCAAGGGGTAATTCCAGGGCACAATGATGAGCACCAGGCCGAAGGGCTCCTTCCGGATGAAGGCTGAGTCCAGCTGTGTGGCCTGGGCCAGGGGTGAGCAGTGAGGCTCTGTGGAACCGCACCGTGGGAGCAAACAGTTCCGAAAGCCCAACTGCCACCCGACCCCCTCCTCCAATTACCAGATTCTTAGACACTTTCTCATCCTTCATCCAAGACCGCAGGTTCCTGAGGGCCAGGTCCACCTCTGCCTGGCTGATGGCAATCTCAGATACTTCCGACTCAAAGGTTGACTACAGGAAGGAATGAGGGTAAGGGCTGAGTCCTGGGACCTCCGAAACAGCAAACAGCTGGAGTGTGGGGAGGGTAAACTTCCTTCCCAGAGGTCCTGCATCTCTTTATCCTTTCACTTGTTCACTCATTCATTCATTCACTCACTCCAGAGAGCCCTGGGCATCTGGAGACAGAATATGGTTGGAAGGAATCCTAGCAGACGCAAAGGCCCTGTGGCTGGATGGGGCTTGCTCTGCTTCTGCTTGGCAGGGCGTACAGAGAGAGGGGCACAAGGCATAAGTCTCCTCAGTCAATGGTCTCATTGGGAGGCAGTACCACGTGCCCAAGGGAGAAGTAAGAAGAGAAACATCGACAGGACCTGGGACTGGGGATGTGACTCAGTCAGAAGAGAACTTGCCTAGCATACACAAAACTCTGGGTTCCATCCCCAGCAATACAGAAACTGGGCACGATGACATACACCTAGCACTGAGGAGGCAGGAGCAGGAGGATCAAGAGTTCAAGGTCATTCTCAGTTTCATAATAAGCTTGAGATCCTGTCTCAAACAAAACAAACAAACAAACAAACAAACAAAAACAGGACCATGCTGAATTCTGCAAGCTTGTGCTCTGCCCCAAATTCTAGGAGGGACCCAGGCTTCAGGGTCAGGGATGCCAGAGCCAGACTGAATTGTACCATTGAAATGCAAGCTTCCTTGGGTAACAGCAGAAGATGGAGGCCTGCAGAGGTGGTTTAGAGTGCTAGGAAGATCATACAAGGGGATGTGCCATGCAAAGTCAGGTGCGTGTTCTGTGCCACCCAACCCTACTGTGCTTCCTAGTAACTGAGCCTGGTTACGGCAACTTTCAGCCACACACAGCTCACAGGAAGCCTGGCATCTCCTAAAGGACCTATTGAGGTTTTTTTGTGGGGGGCGTGGCTATAAATCAGTCTACACACAGTGGGCACGGTGACCAGGAGAGCGGGGTACTTTGAGTGAGGTTCTCCCTCAGGCCCTGCTTTTCCTGGCTGTGTGTCTCTGGACTAGAAATTGCCTTCTCTGAGCCCTACTCTGGTTATAACTGGCTGTGAATTTCCAGCAGGAAGAGTGCTAGGGGTCACCACCGTAGCACCAGGCGGATGCCACCTGCCAAGGGTGGAGACAGTGAGTAGTCTGACTGGATCAGGGGGAGGCACCAGGTTGAATTTTCTGGGCCGCTGCGTCCTTTGAAAGGTCCAGGTTTCTGGAGTCAGATGAGAACACAGAGGTGGAACCTGAGCTGAAGGGGGAAAGGTCAGGTCTCCTGCTGGGCAGAGCTGGTGAGAAGCTGCAGGAGTCAGCCCTGGCCCATCAGACTGGTGACTCTCCAGAGAACAGCAGGGGATGAAGAGAAGAGGAACTCCCTGGGACAGTCCCTTGAACAGCCCTCCCAGGACTGGGGGACCCTGCATAACGGCTGCTGGAATTGAGAGGGAACCACGGGACCTCCAGGGCACAGAGGCTACAATGCCCACCGTGCCAAGTGAGACCCAAGTCCTCCAGGGCGTGGCCCACTTCCTCAGGCCTTTCTTCCATATCTCTCTGTCTCTCACTCTCTCCAGCTCTTCTGGCCTCTGCGGTTCCTCAATTATAGACGCACCAAGCTCTCCTGCTTCAAGACCTTTGCATGTGCTGCTGGGCCACTTCCTTCAATCTCCATGCAGCTCCCCCACTCCCAATTTCCTATCTGTGTTCTGAGCCCCCTTCTCAGAAAAACCTTTGTTGACCCCCCACATACAAACCAGCATCACTGTCTGCCCCTGACTTGACACTGGAATGTCTGCACCTCACATGTTACCAGGCCACACTCACAGCTTGGATTTACTGTCATATTGTCACCTTGTCTTCCCCTGCAGATGTCAGCTCTGTAGATGCAGGGACTTTGCTGTGCTCTCTGTGTGTCCCCAGAGCCAATCCTGGTACCAGTACCAAGCACATACCAAGTGTTCTGTAAATAGCTGCACAGTAGTTGTGGGGGGGGGATGGTGAGTCAGCTGTGCTCACGAAAGGAACTGGGTTCCCCCGGCCTTCCAACACCTCTTCCTTGAAGATGTAACTGAGCTGTGTCCCTTGTCCCAGCTGTGCCACCCTTGCTGACCCAGGGCCACACACACTCCCACCCTGATGTCCCTGGCCCCCTGGTACCTTGTGCAGGTCCTGGGCCAGTGCCTCCTGCAGCTGCTGTTTGTGGTCTCGAAGGAATCGGCTCAGGCCTCGCAGCTGTTCAGCCCGGAACTCAGCCGTCCGTGTCCGCCCGGTGTTGAAGGCCTCCCGCAGCTGCCGCAATGTGTCCTCAAATGAGTCCATCCTGCAGGACAGCGCCGTGTGAATCCCCCTTCGTGACACTCCCTGGGCCCTGCCCACCACCAGTGGTCCACAGACTCTTCCCAGGGCCTCCCTTGGATAACTCCATTGGTGACAAGAGTGGCCTTTGAGACTCTGTACTTATGGGGCACAGACAGACACAAAAGGCATGCCTCCTTCTGCCAGGTGGACTATAGGAGGCTACGGGGCAGGGTATGGGCATGGCAAGGCTGGGCAGGTGAGCCAGGGCTCTACTGCTTCAATGAAGTTAGCTCTGACCCAAGGCCCTCCCCCTCTAGTGCTCTCCCAGGGGCTACACTTCCCCCTGCCCGGCCTGAGTAGAGTGGACAGGAATGGACATAGTGAGTGCCACCACTGCAGCCACCACAGCTCAGGGGTCCTGCACAAAGGAGCCAGGCTGGCTGGTGGCAGCTCAGAGACCTGGGGTGACCTTGGGCAGACCCTCAGCCCCCTTGGCACAAAGGGAAGAAAGGCTTGGGCTTCTCAGAGGCCTCCTGCTCACCTCAGCCCAAACCAGCTGGACCACAAGAGAAGGTGACAGCTGGGGAGGAAAGCCAGGCAGGATGATGGGAAGTCAGCAGCTGGGACTGGCAGACAGGGAAGGGGCCTGATATTCCCCTGGGCTCATGGCTGTTTACACGAGGCTCATCAGAGGAGCCAGCCCTGGGACGCATTTACTCCTTGGACCGGTTGGGGACCCTTTCCTATTCCTCTCTGGCTTCAGGTCTTGGTGTAACCGAAGCCCACTCCAACGCTCCTTCATCTGCTCATAGCGGCCCTCTGCTGAGCTCTGTACTGAGTGACACCATAGGATGCCTGGTCACCCTCTGCCTACCTCCTCTTACCTATTTGTCCATTCCCATGGGACCAGGAGGCCAGCCCACTTTGCCTATTTAGCTCATTTCTTGGGTCTCAGTACCCCAAACTTCCCAGTGGCAAAAAAAGATAGTTGTTGGAGTTGTGGGGGTTTGTTGTTGGTTTGTGTTTAAAAAATTTTTTGCTTGTGCCTCTCTGTGTGGTGTGTGTGTGTGTGTGTGTGTGTGTGTGTGTGTGTGTGTGTGTGTGTTCCCATGTCCATACAGGCCCAAGGCTAATGATGGGTCCTCAAACATACTCCTCCTTATTATTAACTCAGTCTCTCAATTGAACCCCAAGTTTATGGATAAGACCAGTCTAGGACTGGAGATGCGAACACAGCAGTTAAGAGCACATGCTCTCCTGGGGCCCTGAGTTCAAGTCCCAGCACCCACATCAGGCGGCCCATAACCACCTGTAACTTTAGCTGCAGGGAATCTGACACCTCTGGCCTCTGCTAGCATCCTCACTCACTCATACACATAACAAAATAAACAGGGTTAAAGGGAACTAGTGTAGCCAGACAGTTCGCTCTGGGAATCTACTCTCTCCCGCTTTGGGCTGTCTCACCCACCAACACTGTGTAGGTGCTGGAATCTGAACATTGGTCCCCATGCTCGAGTGACAAGGACTTCCTGTCCATCTCTCCATCCCTGGGTGTTTTGTTTCTTTCTTGGTTGAATGTGAGATAGGCTATCTTCAACACACTATGTAGCTGTGATGGCCTTGAACTTTGGGTCTCCCTGTTTATATCTTCTCTGTGCTGGGAGTATAGACATATAACACCATGCCTCGCTTAGCTGACAGGTTTTGTGAAGATGAAACTTTGCTGTCTGCTTCTGGGCCCAGGTGAGCATCAGTGCTGATGGGTGTGACAGCTGTCTGCAGGCCTTTGGGGCTGGTGTGTGGAGAGCAGTGATCTAGAGCAATAAGCCACCCCAGAGGCTGTGCCGAGGATCCAATGTTGACCCTCCAGGCTTCCTGCTCCAACAAGACAAGCTGGAAACTTTCGGGAGACAGTACTGCCCCCCCCCGCCCAGAGTGTTATTAGTGCTCTCAGGGCGTGGGCAAAATCTCATCTGTCCTGCCTCAGTTTCCTTGCCATTACAGGAGATGAAATCCCAGTTTTCTGGACGATCTGAGCAGACTACTGCACAAAGTGTCTGTCATTGTCACCAGAAGGCACAGGGAGGCTAGCAGCCCATGAGTCACCAACAGAGCTGGAGAGACACTCTGTGGTTAAAGCTCTTGCTGTGTAAGCAGGAGGACCAGAGTTCAGATTCCCAGGCCCAAGTAAATGCTAGTGGGTGTGTGAGCTCCCCAGCGTTCCAACCTCGGAAAGCAGAGACACGACTCCCTGGAGCAAGCTCCTTAATGAGACTCCTCATATTAGCAGGCTCTGAGTTTGACTGGGAGACCCTGTCTCCAGGAGAATAAAAGTGGAAAGCTAGGGGGAAAGGCTCCAAACATCAACCTCAGGTCTCCTTATACATACACACAAATGCATGTGCAACCCACACGCAGTGAACACACATACCCATGAGAAAAGAAAAAAAAAGACACCACCAGCAGTCTCTCTCTCCCCACTGCCTCACTGGAGTCTCTTCAGAACCCACAAAAATGTAAAGCATGCTGCTACCAAACACTGGTCTGTGGGCAAGGGAGCTCTGTGGGTGGGGTCTATACAGAACATTCTAGAAGTGCTCCTAGCAACGCTGATGCCAACTCAGTATGGCAGCAGAACACAAACCTCTCCTGCAGGACTGCCCCCCTAGCCCACAATGCCCCCTCAGGGTTGGTCACTAGGGACCGAAACCTGAGGGTGTGCCTACCAGGGCCTAGGAAGCCAGGCTGGCCCTGCATAAGCAGAGGAGCCAAGGCCATCTGCCACCTGGGATCAGGAGTCTTAGATTCAGACATCGAAAGAGAACCAGGAAGCCACAGTGGACACACACTAGGGGACTCCTGTGTAACTCCACAGGGCTGTATCCAATCCTCCCTTCCCAGGTACACTCCATCCTGTTAGTTTGTAAGGATGTCTGTCCTGACCCCTTTGAAGACCACAACAGCAAGGGGACTGTTCTTCACCCCACTGAAGGAGAGGAAGACCAGGGCACAGCGAGGACAAGGAGCTAACCTGAGGACACCCAGCTCCTTCACACTGGAAAGCCTTGGCCAGAGGCATAGAAGGCTGCCTGCTTCAGCCTCCCACCCCTGGAGCATGAGAACAGAGGAGCCTGAGAATGGGGAGAGGAACAACAGTTCTTGGGAGGAGGCAGCCCTTGTGAGGGGCAGATTCAGGACCAGAAGGACAACAAACACTTGTCCACCACAGGAGGAGAAGAGCCCCGTGAGCACGAAAAGTCAATCCGTTGGGTCTCTATCTCTTAATCCCATCTTTCCTAATGGTCCCCGCTATGCTGGCTGTCCAAGCCCAGACCTCAGCTGCTTAGATTCACAGCTGGTGAGCCTGAGGGGGGTGGTCTCCCTCAGGGTGGGGTGGGAGTGTCTACGCCATGTGCATTTCTCTGGGGCCTGAGTAGGACCATGGGCTCTAAAGCAATGATCGGCCTGGTATGGTGGGCCTTGCCTCCAGTCCCAGCAGTAGAAAGGCAGAGGCAAGAGGATCACTATGAGTTTTAGCAAATTCCGTATGAACCATGGCTACATGAAACCTGTATCAAAAAAAATTATGGGCTGTCAAGATGGCTTAGAGGGTAAAGGAGCTTGCTATGCTAGCTGGATAGCCTTTAATTCCGGCACTCAAGAGGGAGAGGTAGGTGGATCTCTGTGAGTTCGAGGTTGGCCTGGCCCACAGGACATTCCAGGACATTCAAAGCTATTCAGTGAAACCCTCTCTCTAAAACAAACAAACAAAAATTACTAAATAGGAGCTAGAGATGTAGCTCTGTTGGTGGCGTGCAAGAGAGACTGAATTTGATCCCTTGGGAAGTAGAGGCAGAAAGGTCAAAGAGTTCAGGGTCATCCTTGGCTACCTAGTGAGCTTGAGACCAGCCTAGGCTACATGAGACTCTGTTGCCATAAACAAACTGGTGCTGACTATGGTAGGCGGGGCCAACATGGGCGCTTGCTGTGGATGTCAGGGACTGCAGGGTGAGCCTGTAAACTAGAGAGTGAGCACTCAGGCCTGCACTCCATTGCCCAGGGTATGAGCTGCTGTGCAAGGGCCTGTACCCTTGGAAGGATCTAACTGATGGACTTGCCCTCTGGCTCGTGCCTGCTCTCCTACCCCACTGGGATCCTGTGCACGAAAGCTCAGCCTTGTGCCTTATCCTTCCTGCCTCAGTTTCCTCAACTACGCCACAGACCTTTGTGGTCAGTGATCTGGGCACAAATCCTAGCAGCTTGTCTACTGGATAGAGGGCCTCTGGGAGGTCTTTTGGGCTCTTTGACTCACTTTTTTCATTAGTAAAATGGGTCAGTTCTTGGTGCCACCTATAGCTACAGGTGCCCCTGTAGCTGGGGAAACTCAAAGGCAGAGGTTTAGAAAGGCTTGGTCCAGGCCTGGCCCCCAGAAACACTTAGCCATGATGGCTCCAATAAGAGATAGATGGCACCAGAGGGACTGGAGAGGGGGACTCCAGGATAAGGGCCCAGGAAACCCTAATTCAGTGTGGGATGTGGGAGGGCTGTGGATCTCAGTGACAGTGAATGAAGGTGTGGTCTCAGGGATGAGACCTCCATCGGGACTGCCAGAAACAGAGGCGCTATCCCGGGCTCAAAGACCCCCAGGTCCTGAAACCTAGGGCCTCCTGCTCTAATCTCCTATATGTGGCTTTTGCTCTGGGTTCTAGGAGACTGCCCAGAGCTCTGGGCAGCAGCTTCTCCTATCCATGGCCACTGGGGAGTTGGGACCAAGATACTCCTGGGCCTGGCACCTGAGCCTGCCCTCCAGTAGATAAACTGCCTGAAGATGAAGTCTGGGAACCACAAGATCCCTCCCCAGGCATAGCAGGTGCCTGCCTCTCTCTCTCTAGGCTCTGACAAACTATTGCTGAGGAGTCTTTCCTAAGATCCTTGGAGTATCTCCAACAAGCCGGGCTCGCATGTAGTTAGTGCCTTGGAAACGGTGCCTGAATGGAACTTTGCGGGTTGGAGGCCATGTTC